GGGACAGAGTCCAAGCTCCCCAGCAGAAGAGACAAATGGTGTCCAAGCACAAGACAACGAGTAAAACGACAATGGGTGTCAGTGGTTACTTGCTTTTGCCATCTTCAATTTTCATATTCCTCGTAGATATATTCTTAATTTCAGCTACAAAATGCAAGAAGTGTAGATGAGGTTGCTTATGTATTTTTTTATTAAACAATTTATATAGAGCTCATATCAATTTTTTTGTTTGTTCGTTTGTTGAATATAAACAATAATAGTGTAGTGAGGGGAAGTAGTAAAACATTGTATCTTTCCACCCGGACCTTGTATCAACCTATGCCTTATCATGGTGTGTAGTAGTCATCCTCGTCCCAGATCAAGTGTCCGGTATGAACATCGAGTATCAGGTACAAATTCTATATTTATACTAATGCATTTCATGTCTGATATAAGTATTGCACAAAATTAAAGAGAATTCTATACTTGTACTAATGCCGCCTCGTGCTCGGGCAGATGGCTCAGCTATGCCTTTATTTTTATTTGGATACCCTAAACATCGACAATCAACCAACCGGACATCTTGTAGTTAATGAATATCCTTTATGATAAATTGGGTATTTACCTCAAGAACTTGGAAGAAGGGATTACTATGGTGCTAAAGTGTTAAATTTTAAGTGATAAAAGACTTTTTCCAGAAAAAAAAAAAAAAAAAAGGTGACAGATCCAAAGATGCATTTCAATAGTATAGTTTGTACTTTTGGTCATTATAGATTTAGAGTTTATGCTTTTAGTCAATATAAGGAGAAAGCTATTTTGTTTACATTAAAGTAAGACTGATGAGTGATGAGCTCGCCTCGAAGAGAATTCCTATGACCCAAAAGCAAAAAAATGCATAATAGCTAGAATTCCACCAAGTTCTACCAAAACCAATGTAAATAATTAAGGATTATATATATTATAAGAGAAAAAAATGTCGGCCAAATTCTTATTCTGTTTAAATTATCTTAATTAAGGATATCTAAACGTTATAAAAATTTATATAAATTATAACTCATTAGAATTAAATCTGTAATTTTATTTATATATTAATAAATTAAATTTTTAATTTTATTTAATTAAATATTATAAATTGATTATAATAGATAAAAAATTTATAATAAGTAAAGTTTAAATTTTTATATTTTCAATAAAATTTAAATTCGTAATTTCAAAAAAAAAATAAGAATCCTAATTACTACATCGCTACGTTGACAAGATATTATATTCCTTATCAACCATTAAACAACACTTGTGTAGTAATTAATTAATACCATACAATAAATTACTACAATTTACAAGCGGTTAACAACACAAAATTATGGAATTATTCCAAGTTTATCCAAATTATCAAAGAGTGATCATTATTAAGTAATCGTAGCTACAAAACATCATACATATTCTTTTTCAATACTAAAGGGAAGGACATTACAGATCATATTACCGGGCAAATAC